ATATGCAATATCGCTAGACGCCCGACAGTGATAGTTCCTAAACGGAGATCCGTATTGTAATGTTGATCGAAAGTCCTCAAAGTTGGTTAACTATGGACTATGACTGTAAATGAAAATATAGCAACGGTATAAGATAGCAGGAATTGTTCCGAAATGAAAACTGCACCTCTCTGATGTTGTAGACATTCTACGTTATTCTACAGTTGCAGTTATCTCTCGCGCAACTGGGTTTCGCGCGTATTCCAATGGCATACTGCCTTTACCGACAGTTACCACATAGGGTTTCATTATCGACGTAACCTCATAGAGCCTGCATCCCTATAATGAGTTATCTGAAAGAGCACCAAGCGTTCGGTATATGGATCTATTTGCACTAGACGAATCGTCAATGATGACAATGATGCTAAATTTGAATTGGCCTGGCTAGCCGATTCGGGTTGATGTCTTTTTGCGTCATTTGTGCACTCGTGTACGATCACATGGGACCTTTGTACCCGTTTCTTGTAGAGCGGGAACATCAATTAGATAGGCAGAACGGGCAATGCGTATTTTACAGACTTAGCCCACTTTCGAAGCCTTGAAGACTGTTAACTGTCTATGTTGCTGTGCCTTACGCCCCCTGCAATGATAATCCCCACAACCGTGTAGGCAAGCACGAAAGACGTAGTAGAAATAATGGATGTTAATGGCTGAAATGTAATTGTTACCATAACAATAATTTACTGTGCATTGACCAGAAAGAGAAATTGCACCACAGAACCGGCCAGCGCATTGAAATGTCTATGACAATGCTCGTAGCTATTATCATAATGTAGCTATTCAGCGACGACATTGATGACGCCGTGACGCTATTCTGCTAAACGCCGTCGATGCGGATAAGGATCAGACGTTTTCGACGTTGTCTCGTAGAAATAATGTTCTCAGTTCTACACTCCGGTACAGCCGCTAAACACTGCCTCAGACGGCTGGATCCGAAAGACAGAAGGTTTGGCGAGCAAATTACTTACTCACTGCGCCGTCGTGGTGTTCTTGGTTGTTCGCAGGAAATTGTTGTGACGATGAAGGGGAGAGAATCCCGTCTAGGTGCGCATATCACAAAGCGTATAAAATGGACGACTTTTAGACTTAGTGAAGAAGCTCGCCGCCAGTTATCTTCCACGATCGGGCTATAACAAATAGCTTAATGTGGTGTTCTATTTTGAACCCCTAGCCACTATTGTGTTATCATCTGAATCTTATATTTGATCATCTCTCAATCTATCTTTCAACGGAAGTATTTTTCCTCAAGCTTAAATTCGTAGTGATTTTCATCCCTGTAAACAGATGATAAAGTATGCATAACTACTGTAACTTCAAACCAGTCTTACTGATCCAATGGCCGACAACGCCTGACCATCTTTGTCTGCACTCTAAACTCCGGTTTGATCAGCACTGCTGCCCTCTAGGAGACACGTTGGCGCTCGAATATATTCCCGATACCGCCGTCGCGTCCACGATGTTTCGGTCTAGTTTACAGCCGAAAATGTTTCTGCGAGTCATCTAAATACTGCCGTTGAAATTAGCGAATAGGGAAAATACTTGGCCATGTCATATAGGGACCATTGTATCAGCATTTAGTACAGCAGTTTCTATTGTGCGGAACGAAAGCAATTATTGAAGTTGTTTAGAACTAATGGGTCGTGGTCGACGCTACCAACTTCGAGACGACATTGGTAGCATGAGCGGATTCAAGTTGATGGCTCCGTAAGATACCGCACAATTTCAGCTCGCAGTCGCGCGGTGATCTAGACCCAGTTCCGACCAGTTTGTATCAGTCGGAATATAAAAGAAAGCGCTTACTTTGGGTAAGTCGTATGCATCTACGCAATCTCGTACCTCGCCACGTTTTTACAGCGCTACTTAAATACGTTTTAAATGATTAGCTAGCTAGCCTAAGTAGATAATTTCAATTGGACAAGATTAACTATCTACTTTTTTCTAATTTAAGTGCTCGATTTAAAAATGTTTGATGTCCTATGTCCGTACATTAAACATATGCTAATGTCATGGTTTTCGTCATTCTCAGTGACGGTATTTGATAGCGAAGACTAACTATAGTAACTGTCATTTCGGGCAACCAACAGGGATACTATATGAGATAGTCGAGATTGATATCTCTCGTCTTGTTCAGAAAATTATCTTGAGATAATTAGCTGTCTAACCTTATACTATAGAAAAATACATAAATTCAATTATGCGTTTTGCAGTATATATCCGTTAAGCGTAACAACCGCAATTGCAGGCGGCAGTGTTGATAAGTATCTGTATGTAACTAGCTATCAAGCATGTAAATGAATGTTCGCAAGGCTATTGATAGTTAGTTTGGTGCTCAGATACGCACTGAGAAATATTCTCGTTGATGCCTTTTATACGTGTAAACCGCACCTTGATCAGATGGTCAGACGTAGCAGCAATTTCAAGTCCCGCCGCCGCAATGAAGTAGCAGTGAAATGCCTCGAAATCATGGTTCATCATCGAATCGTGGTGGTAGGAAATCGCCCGTAAACGCACGGATCGTTTCGTACTGGAGAAAAAACCAGTCGTTTAGATAAATTTGGCCAAGCCAATAGCGCCACAAGTAAAGCTCGATGTATTTATCTAATTTCGATAGCTATATTTATAGTAGAACTTTATGTCCAGTGTCGCCGTTAGGCAGGTATTCCGTTAGACAGACGGCTGTGTCTCGGCACGAAACGAAGTCTTTCTATCTATGGTCGGGTTCGAACGTAGACCGCAACGTATTCCTGAGATTAGCCGGCAGGCAAACAATCTGAAGAATGAATTATAGCGGAATATCGCGAACGTTGATAAGCCAGTAGAGAAAAAAAAAGGTTGATATAAACGTAACACTGGCGTTATATAAAGACGATAACAGGCTATAGAAATATAGCAGTAGTAATAGAATAACAGAGAACAGAAGATCAACCCTAATGTTGTTTTGTTGTTCTGTTTCATTGCTAATCGAAAGGTGATGAAGGGAATAACTTATGTACTGTCATGTGGAAGCTGTTGGGCGTTTGGTCTCACCTCAGCTTTAGCGAATCGTAGCGTTTCTATTTACGAGACTTCAAATGAACTCCGAAACCTGTTCAGGTCTTGCGAGGAGACCTGTTGGCTTCAAACCCGAGAGGATTAACCTAAATTAGGCCAAGTAGAGCTTTGTATCGATTACACGTAACTTGCGAATGATGAGGTTCGAAAGACAACACTTCATTGAATAGAGTGGCGTAAAATGGAATTGTTGTTTGAGGTTTCGCACGCCGCTGTTAATATCTATCTATTCACCATAAACGAAATGTAATTCTGTTTCTATAGAACCTAAACGTTGATCATAGTTGCCACGGCTCATTTACTGAAAACTTTTCTTGTTTTTACGTTTGGTATTACTGTTTTGGCCAAACATTGCTCCAGGTAGCCGGATCCTATCAGAATGAAAAGAACCACGTGGGTTTCGAAATTGAATCATCTCAATGGGTAATTCTGAGTTTAGTGAGCAAGTACACTACAAGGTCGTGCTCGCGCTACTTCGTATGTCGCTACCGAATCGAACGGGCTGTTCCGTAGGAAAGCTTTGTCTGCCTTTCCTCTTGGCAGCTCTGATCCCCAATACGGATTCTTGTACCAACTGTTTGTCCTTCGACCACAGCATGGTTCAGCATATTAATCTATGGGTGCAAGCCTAAAAATAAGTGCCTTGAATTTAACGTCTCGTACGATCGTTAGCCGTCGCTTCGGACGCCTGATTTTCTTCAGCTAACCTCAATCCATAGGAGCTGTGGACTATCGACCAGAACGTATCCCTTTCTTCTTCGGCCGAAGAAGGATTTTACGCATTTGAATCGCATAGCTGAACCGACATCTATCAAAATGGTAGCTAGTAGCGATAGAGTAGAGCATTTGGGTCCTCTACGACACCATTAGTAGGTCGACTTTTTTTTACGAATATAATTTGTCCTGTTCTAGAGCGTAGATTTTCTCCCATCGTCTAATAATTTCAACAACACTATATATAAAACCCACTATGAATAAAAGATGTCCTTACTCCTATAATAACCTAGTTGTAATACTATGCCTAATATATTTCAATAACAGTTAACATTACGCGCTGATGTCGTCGTGATGGGTAAGTATGGGAAATCATATGGCGTTTAGATAATTTCGTACACATTAGCACTACCGATCACCGCAATTAGACTTGTATCCAGTGAAGCAAGCTGGATATCACTTATACTAATGGTAAATGGATCTGTATTTGTGTGAGGAAAATTGGATATTGAAAACAAATCTAGCTTGAAAAAATTGAGTGGGAACCCAGCTTAATAATAAAGATACAGCGAATCAAGCACGCATCTTGGACATGACTTTCAAGAGAGCACTGAATAAAGTCGGTGTGGGCAACCAGAACCTAGGTGCTTTCGGAGGAGGTCGTAATAACTGGACTTCGTAGAGTGTATTCTTGCAATTCTGATTAAAAGATGCTGCTCCATTAGGAAAACCATTGACTCACTTTTATATGTAGGAGCCGTAAGACCAAGTGGGTAAAATAAAGGTCTACCTTACCTACAAACGTTGTCACAACCTACTTGAAATATTAGCAGAAAACCTTGGTCTCGTTCTGCCAAAAGTAAATCGTACTCTATACACTCATTGCTTTCGGTATAAATCGTTCTAACAGGTTTGTCTTCTTGCTTGAACGAGCAGAGTCTGTTTCACAAGTATCGTCAGAATAAACGATTGAGCTTTGTGTTTAGATTCAAAATGTTTTTTTTTTTCTTTCTCATCATAGGAAACGACAGGGCGTAGGTTAATATACTTGCAAATAACATCGATTGTCTTTTTCCTTATCTAATCTTAGTCTAACAGACTTAACTACAGGTAAGTTGTGTGAGAAGCTGCAGAGAGGGAGCATACTTTATTTAGTACAATAGAACTTTTAGTTAATTGTATCTAGTGTATTCTTCAAAACTGCACCCGCCAAACTTATAGCAAATCTAAAGCCAGAGCTCGAGAATAATAAGGATTAAAGGAGTTATGTTGATTTACAGTAGGAAATTCCAGGATCATTAGGTTCATAATCTCTTTGGATAGGGTAGGTAATGCTCTAACTCGAGAAGGAAGAGCGATCATTTGAAATAGTCGCTTTGATGTGTTGTTAATCGTTAGTCGATCGTTCCTCAATTTCAATTTCTTAAGGAGTTTTCACCAAATACACTTGAAGAAAATAAGCCCTCATAAAGGTTTGAAAAAAAATTCCTTTCTAAAAAGCTCTGACGTTGACAGTGTCGGTTTTGTAGTAGTAGGGCTATTTTTGCCTCATTTGTCTACGAAACACAGGGACGTTTTTCGTCGTAATCAAAAAAAATGTCAGTGAACTTTTCTTAGGTTCGATTCTTTTATTATCAGCTGCTGTATAATTTTTAAGCGGCCCTTAATAGTGGTTCATCCATAAAATTTCAGACTCTAATCCGATAGTTGTTACTTCAAAACCAATAATTGAACATACTTAGAGTTACTATGTGACAAAACCTTGGCGTTTCATTTATCAGAATTAGTAACTTACACGTGTCGATGGTGATTTTTTCCTAACTTTTCTAGGTCGACTTGAGGGCGAATATTTTATTTACTTATTTTTATAATATCGAAATTTACTTAACGAGTGGAAACGGCCGCTATTATGGAAAAAATATATTTCTAACTCTGTATCCTTAGTTCAAAATAAGCAGATGATCCGTAACCAATAAAACCGAAAAAAATACTTCTTATAGACATCCCCTGCCTTAATTCCGTATATTTTGACAAGGTACGATTATACAGTCAGCGGTAGGGCTAAATTAGCTGTTAATGATTTTATGCACTGGCTAAGTCAGTCTGGAAATTGGAAGAATAGTACTTATTTTCGGAGAAAAACCTGTGATGCTTTGGAATTACCTACAGCCGAGCTACCTAGGTCAAAGCTCATCTTTCTTCTCATTCGACTCTTCTGAATTTCTAAGATTTTTCTAGCCATTATGAAGACAGATGATAGATGGTTTAAATACGGACATGTTTATTTTTTGTTCGAGAAGTGGGAGTAAGTGTAAGTGAGAGACCTTTGTTGAAAGCCACGTTTTACTTATACCAAATCGGCTGAGATTCAAAATATCTATTATGTGATTTCCAAATACGTGTTCATTAATAGTGCGATAAAATCAAGTAACCACCTCTGATATATCAATCGGAGTGATTTGCTATTTGAAGTGCTTGTGTCTTTAGTGTAGTCTTCCAAAAACAAGATAACTGTCGTGGTTATCCATGACTCTGCTTGAAAAAATATATAACGAAATAGATCTAGACATTGCCTTGCACCTACAATGTCGCCCATATAACCAGTTCCCACATCGTATCACCGTTTGCTGTCTACTACAGCGGCTCACAAGTGCCTCAAAGTTTCAAAGCTCACAACTTACTCAAAAATAACCCCAAAATAGTTTTCCCAAACCTCCTGGCCAACTATGGATAACTGAATTTATCGATAGCGCTTTTCTAGAAGTTAGATAGAAGACTTTCCTACAATTTGCTGTTAAATTCCAATGCATATTCGCTGCGTCTTTTCGTAAGCCCATTTAGTCAGAGTGTACATAAAAAAATCACTTACTCAGCTCGATAAAAAAATCCGTCTTCGCGATGGAGTAATGAGTGTTTGATAAATTTAAGGCTTCATCAGATGAGGTCTAAGTTCGAAACCCGATACAAACACACCATTAAGTTCGTATCAAATTTGTACTTCGGATTTGAGGAGCGGTACTGCCATTAAGCATTTCTTCGGTCGAGCGATTGGTTCTTCCTAGCGCAAAACAATGGCTTACAATTATCAAAGAGATATGTCTGAAATGTTTTCTACCCACCTAATGGTTTCCTGTTAAACTGAAGATTGGAAGAACTAAACGCACGACGGTGGGCTTTGTGTACCAGCCGCTAGATACCGTTTAAGACTAGATCGATCCAAATTTTGTAGGTTAAGCCGGGTCAAGACAAAATGCTCCAGACAAAAGAAAAAATGCTGTGTGCCGGGCTCCTCTCTTTGATACAAAACTTAATTGCTTATTTTTAAAGACCTCAAAAGTTTTTGCATATACGGTGACGTTAGCTAAGTCGAATTGTATAAGATGCTAAAGTATGGAATTTATCAGTGTTCAATATGTGTTTATAGATGACGAAGCAAAATCACAACACTAGCATTGATGTCCTTATAAAATCAACGTCCTGTCCTATGTTCCATTCTCCTGTCTCCTTAGGCAGTAAGCAAAAGGATAAATGCAGTTCGACTATAATTCTTAGAAGTAGCAGCGACATCCGCTATCGAACCTGCGTCACGCCTGCAATTTTGTCGGGTGTAAGCTCGTCACCGTTTTCTACATCAGCCAAGCGGATTTCAACTAACTCCATTTAAATCCTTCCTCCATATAAGCGAATTCCCTGTTGATCTTTTGGGCTCACCACTATATTCCAAAAAGCATTGACAAAACACCACCACATGTCCTTTCCCCTTAAAACCCCGTGAACACCCGCGCTTTGATGGCTCCACCACAGGACATGTTCTTATGGATACCATAATATATATGTAATTACCTGTTCAGCGCTGAGCCTTCCATTGGCCTGGGAGACAGCTGATGCTAACGAATTTCCCCCACAAATGCTACACCAGCTCCGTCCACAATCACACCCACTAACGCCTCCGTGACGTTCAACCATGGCGCCCAGGGGACTGGATCCACCGCCTCCGTTAGCACCCCCGCTGCCACCTATGTGGCTCGAAGCGTTTCCGGTGATTCCGGGAGGTGTTGGACTACCACCCGTACTGCCGCTGTGAACACCACCGCCTCCTGGAAGGGCGCTGTAATGTCCTAACGTGCCTAGCCCGCCCCCGAACTGGCGGAGGATCTCGTCCCGAAGTAACAGCCTGGCGTCGTATGGGGCCTTGACAGCCCGCGAGTCCTTAGAAATCCTACAGAGAACGCCACAGTTCCGAACGGCCCCGAAGTCCGGCAAGCCAACTCGATGAAAACAGGCGATTTCTTCGAGCCAAATCGACTAGTTGCTGAGGCTGGTGAGGATCGATTGAAGTCCGTAGTTGAAAAAATTATATTTACGGAAGGTTGCCTGGTTGCACAGTACACGAATATTTGTTGGGCTTAATGGGTCCTTTAAGCTAAATCAGAACGGACTGCACCAGTTGACCAAATTGATTAGCCAAAAAATTATCTGATTGATTCGATCGGCACGTTTCTCCCAAGCAATTTTCATAGGGTAGTGTTACGGGAAAGTTTACTCATTGCTCATATCAAAGGCTAGATAACGTTCTAGCGCGATTGTCTGTCTGTTACTCCTTGATGGTCGATTGCCGCTTTTGAAAGGATTATTAAATAGCACTTCTCTGTCAAATACTCATATATCATTTAAGTTAAAGAAGGAGACGGTGACGATTACTTGGACACGTTTGGAAAAACATTAGTGGTTAAACTATTCTTCTATTTTGCTCGATTTTTCCATAAATCGACTTGAGACTGGTTGGCAAACTTGAAAGCTATCAAGATCTCGTTTCAGATTAACACTTCGTAATGCATATACAGTTCGTTACGTACCATTAACACTTAATCACTCACGGCCATACGGTTGATCATCTACACAACACAAATTCCCAGTGGATGGACAGCTTGCTAACACTTTTACTTCAACCACCACGTCAAATATTGTTACCTTTAGGGTATTTGATATTGCGCGACGCTGTTTCAACGTAACTGGGGTCAAATTTTGAATTAAGGTGGAACTTGTTTCTCTGGGGTAGGTGCCAAGCATTCGACTATGTAGGTCGAACGACGGGTAAGGAGGAAGAAAAAGAACAAGCGGGTGTAAACACCGATATCAACGGCGAAATCGCTCGCCTATCACAGACGTGTAGCTGCTGTTAACGAGGAAGATTCTGCACCTGAACCATCAAATCTTCTTTCGATCAGCGACAATATCGCCATCCACTAGGAGCAATGAACTAATCAATCAATTACCACCTCCAGGATCATCGCTCCATTTAGCTCTGTTGAACCGTTTCACGTAATGCGACCTCATACACAACTGTTAGGTTCTCGGACTTCGCTGACAGCTTCAGCAATATTGAACCTAATGTATTCTGACGAGTGACGATCGCTGACGCCTGATGTGTTTCGACTCGGATCAACAGTTACCAGTCAATCAGCCACCCCCTTCTCACAAAGAAACTTTGAACACAAAATCAGATCGAACAGATCAAAAGCCGTAAAGTGCAAGCTTCTTTTTCTCGTGACAGTGGCGGCGGCGCCGGCAGCGGCTTGTGACGAGAAACAAATTGAATTTTGCCTCTGCTTGAATCATCCGTTTCGGCGCGAGAGAATGAGGTTCGCCCTCAGGAAGCAGGAGGCCCTGACGTTGGGGTTGTCGAAGTCGCTGTCATCAACGTCGTAGCCGACGTCGAGGTAATGGTTCCAGACGGTAGCAAGCGATACGTTACGGTGCGGTATGGTACAAGACTAACGCGTGGTAGTAGCGTTGGCCCAATGGGGCAACCGGCCCCGGGGCCAATCTGGGCCTCAGCTTTGGCTCGGAGTGCAGTAGCACTTAGCGCGCTGGGTACAGCTCGTTCCCACAATCGTAGAGGAGCAAGGAATGCTTGGCTGAGACGCAGAGAGTCTTGGCCGAACCGGCTAGTTCAGCATCACGAGCCTGCAAGCAGCTGCCTCTTTAGGTTGCGTTGCGCCTAGCCTCCTCCTAGCCTAGGCTAAAGCCGGCCGCTTGGTAGCTGGCTTAGACTGTAGCCTTGGCTAACGCCTAGATAGAGCCTAGATACGCACCGGGTTCGGAAGTTTGCCGCGTCACGAGGAACGCAGGATGTCAGCACCTCTTACCGTCACCCTCATCACAACTAACTCAATTACTCCTTAAACAGATTCTACTTTCCACACAAAAACCGGCCTCGATCAGGATGATCGCTCCGCCCCTGACGCATGCGCACTAGACTCGTCGAGTCTGCGCAGATCAGAATCGAGGGGAAAGGACGACGTCTCTATAGAGCATGCAGCAGTTCGTCCTACCCATCGGTTATGCCGGACAAAACGTTCACTCTTGGACCTTTAGCAGTGGTGCTTTGAAGCAATTGCAGAAATATACATTTTCTCTGTAGACGCCCTTGACGATACAAGAACGCAGCCCCGAGGGCAAGGAACGCGTGCTGGAGGGGTGGTTTTGCAATCACTAGCTTGGATGATGATTTCACTGCTGGATATATTCCCTGGTGATAAAAAAAAGCTCATAACAATTTCGAATGGTGATGCCTTTGATGAAGACTCTTTTGATCAAATAGTTGCTTGTTCGCACATTTCCTAAAAATGTATTCTGCTTTTTTTGAGTATAGTTTAAACCTAAAGTCACGCAAGCAGGCATCAGTTCTATCAAACTAGTACCAACGTTTGGGTAAGTTCATGGAGAACTGTTATCAAGCCACCTGTGCTAATTAGACTCAAATAGAGTATGCACCACTCTGTGTCCTCCAACCTACTGAGGTCCATACACTTTGTTACTTATCCTGTTTGTTAGCTGTAATGCTATAAGTTCCTACAACCTCAGGCACCTTGGTAATAAAACCATTTCGACATATTGCAACGAGGCTAGCCAACTCCAAAAGAAGGACTCCACGGGTAATAGCTGGCATCTAGGTTATAACTGAATCTACAACTTTAGAGTAGTAAATGACTCCATCTTAAGGTGCTTCGATACAACCACCGGATGTTTGGTCTTGTCAATTATAACCTTATTCAATATTAATTCCAGTCCGAGACGTTCTAGATTGCTTGCATGAAAACGGAAACTAGAGTCGAGCGATCAATCTATTTTTTTCCAAGATGACCGACAATTCACATTTCGTTCGATCCGTCTTTTGTACATCTATATATATATACCTATATAGAAATACCTTCGAAATTCCCTTATCAATTATCCACTCCATCAAACGAGCTATTCTTTTGCTTTTTATAAAAACTTATAACATTTATGGAACACCAGAGGCGTGCTGTGCGCTGCAAATATTCGAAATTGGCAAATTACTAGATATTGTAATGACAGGCATAAATTTTTAGACTGTTTTAATAAGTAATACTTTTTTAGCGGTAGTATTTTTTCGATCGTATGACGTACAAGCTTTTTGCTATGGAAGCGCGAAAAATGGAGTTCGTAGTACTTTTTCTTTGTATTAATCGAGAAACAAGGTGTCACAGACGATAGGTTCGGAACGTAATTTTACCTAATGGTTATGCTGGGCACCAGGCACACGTTTCTCGATTTTCAGTGAATGCGACAGTGTAATATTGACACGTTTTGCGACACTAATTAACAAGAGGCAATAGACAAAGAAAATATCAGTTGTTATTTCGGAAGTAACATTTGCTTTTTACTCTGTAACGCTCCGGAGGCGTCGGAATTCAGTGTTTGACCTTGCAGATAAGTAGGTGCTGCGCTTTTAGGTCTGCAGCCAATGCGTGTTATCAAAGGATATTGAAAATTTAGAGGTTCTTCATTGAATTTGACCGAATTAAGACTTTTTTTTCTCGTAACTTCGTGATTACGCCCACAAAGTCAAACCAAATCAGAATATATCCTAATCTTAAAGGATAACTCATCAATAGTTTTTTGACAATTTTGTTTTTATTATTAAATATTTTCGGGTATTAAGTTATTCTAAAAGTAAGAACAATTTCTGTTTTTCCTTTTCCTCCCCTACCGTTTTCCTATGCGCAAATATTACGTGTGTAAGAAATGTTTTTTCTTTACTCGACCTCATAGGACAGGAAAAACATGTTACAACGGTATAGAAAATACTTGATGTCGATCAACCAAACAGAAAGGTCACGGTGAACAATTTAATATTACAATCCGACATTTTTCGAAAAACAAGCAGTGATATTAAATAGTTACAGAAATTTTAGGTCACAAACTGTTTCTCTGATCATCAGAATCAGCCGAAGTGGCGCCTAATTGTCCTGTCTCTACCGATAGGTCTATTTGCTTTTTCAAAGGAACTTTGTTTGCAAAGACCTGCTAAAGATAAATGTTTATACTAACATAGCCTAACTTCCTGCCTATCAGAAAATCTTAATTTCGTTCTGATCAGATTAAAATAAAATTTCCGTAGTTATTTTATATATACTACTTGTTTCATATTGATCATATTTGGCTAAACGATAAATTACCCGGTTTCGACTACGTATATAAAGTAAAAAGATCAAAATATCAGGTATCTATGGTTCTTCCTGCAGAGTAGAACGTAAAGCTATTTAAAATCTGAAAGTTAAGCTAAAGAAGAAGATAATTATGTAATTGAGTTCGCCAATAGAATCCGTGGCAAATTTTAATGTAACACAGCTCGAATGCTTTATTCTTTCTGCTGTTTGTATCGGTTTTTTTTTTTGTATGATTTTTATATTACCTTCGTTAAGAAATTTTACTCGTAAATGCAATAATTAAGCTAAAAAATCGAACATTTGTGCAGTGCGACCTTTTAAATGTAAGATATCATATTTGATTGGCCAGTTATATTACTGGGTAAGATATCATTGGCCACGTTATAATTCAACTTTCACTCAACAACATAAAATGGCGTCGTAGCTCTGACATCTCATGGAATATTTATTTAACTCTGCCAGCGCAGACATGATTGTCGAATAACGGAGAAGCTACATTTGGATCGTTTTTTTTGGAAGTACATCGAATGTGCCGAAGTGGTATGAGCCATCCAAATAAAAAAATGTACGTTATTTCATCACGTGTAACACAAGCACGCCCTGTATAAATTTTATCGTACCTGTATCCAGTTTACGTTCTTTTTGTACCGCGTCGACTTATCGATTTCTCAACCGCGACCCCCCACCCGTTCACGTTTTGACTTGCATTTCGTTTACTGTCTTCTTTCTCCCGCGGTATCTCCAACTTTCAGTGTTCGTCTGAAGAATTGCGTTTCGCATGTTTGCAAATTTGGACCCACCATAGCCCGTCGTAGTTTGCGTCTACCCTTTAGAAACGTATTACTAGTGCTGTTCTTATTGCGAGTTTTTTAGGCACTTCTAGCCAACGGTCACTTAACACACTCACTGCTGTACAATCTCCGAGGCACGAAGCTCTGATCCCTTTCCGTGAGTCTCGAATGGGCGGAGCTAGCCAACACTTACTTGTAGCGAACGTAGTGCCGACTTGCCCATAAGGCCGGCCTTTTTGTGAGCATGTTCTAGCCACTCCATAGGGCACAACGCGTTCAGCTCTCCTATCAGCATAACGACCCAGAGAGGTTGGTGACAGCGTTGCCAGCTCTCTGCTCAGAGACCACCATCGTTTGGGTGGGGCGGAAACTTCACTAGGGGGCGAAAGGCGGCCGTAAAGAGGCTGCTGTCTTCGCCGCTGCTGACATCGTCAACCGTCGGCAACCCCCGAGCTCTCGCATCCGACTCGGTTCGTCTCGTGCATATATAAGTGGCTTCGGCGTTCACAGACGAGCAAACCCACAATGTGAAGCTGAAAGGACAACTACTACTCGGCAGAACAAGGCTGATATAGCCAAGTTTTGCGATAATACCACACGTTCGCTTTTGCCATAAGTAGTAAACATTACTGTATAAGCTTGTTATATGTTTCGCTTAGCTTGCTCTGAAGACTAGACAATCTGTTTGAGATGCTATTTGTGAAAGTGTACCTATAGTCAAATAAATATCTTTTTCATTCTTACGAATTGCGTAGTCTTTTTGCGTCGTCGGCCAAAAAACCTTAGCTGTCCAATTGTACAGTATAACCCGGATTAAACTGTTACCGAGCTTCTACGCAACGGTAAAATACATTTTGAAACATCCTCAAGATCAGGTTTTGTCCCTATGGCCTAACTCAATAAAAATCTAATAAATTACATTTGATTATAGGTTTTAGATACGTATCTAAAGTTTATATGTACTCGGGCCAATTTTATTCAATGGTATATACATTTATAAACCAGTACTACAACTTTACCATTGCAGGTAATACTATGAACCAGATTGTCCTGGAGGAATAACCTGTGTCCTGAAGGGGGGTAAGCCTAGTTAATCTAGCCATCTTAATTAGCGAGTCATAGCAACTATCAAACGTGCGTTCGATCGGCAACAAATACAGTGGGATTAGTGTTTTGATGTATAGCGTTTCGCTCGAGTGTCGCCATTACGGTAGACACTTTGACGAAATGCAGTCATAATAGGTTTGCATATTTGCTGGGGTTTATCTCACTAAACAGAATTAGTGTTTGTCCTATCAAACAATTGTGCCAGAACTAAGCTACAGCGAATTAATAACTAATCAGATATAGATCATTGGACTACAGTCTTCAAAATGGCGCATCTGATTCCCTCCAGGCGTACGTACTATTTGTTACTATGAGTAGTTTAGTGATTTTGAATGAAGCCCGAATTATCTAACCTAAATCGCATCTCGGTTGCATTATAGTGGCCTTATTGTTGTCCTAGTCTCCGATTTTTACTGCTTATCATAGAGAGTAATTCTGATTTCGCATAATGGCTTAGCGGATTGACAAACTGGTGTTCTGTTAGTCCAGTCACATGAGTGTGCTCGACTCATGAAGTTTACCTTCACTATGCCGAATTCCCTCAAGAAAGCGTTCCTTGATACATGTCGATCATGTTTTACGCTGCAACCGCTCCGTCCAACATGAACTAGATCGATATTGACAACGTCCGTCAAAGACATTGCGGATGAACAAGCGTTTTTGCTTTCGACAACTGGCTAGGACAATTAGGAAAGCAAACCCCATTGTAACGTCGCATTGGTATTCTCAGCTA